GCCTGGAAGCGCTGGGGCTGGGCGCTGGAGCAGGGCGAGAGGTAACGCACAGAGACCGGGGGGCCTTCCTCCTCCCTGTCCCGCGGGGGACTGTGCTCCCCTCGCAGGGGCCGTGGGCTGAGGGCGAGGGGCTTGGGGTTGCCTGTAGCTCTGGAGAGAGGAAAGCGATGGAATATCCCCGGGCAGTGCACCTGAGGTGGTTGGCATGCTGCTAGCCTGGGTCTCGTGCTGGTTTTTAAGCCATCCTGGCTTATCCAGGTCACCCACCAAGGTGGACTCGTGCTGTGCACGCCCGGTGTGTGCTCAAGTCTCTAAATTCTCCTTGTGCTTCCCCTCAATTTCTGCTGCTTTTGGCTTCCACCTCCCTGCCTGTGTCAGTCTGCGAGTGCTGGAGTAGACTTAGAGGAAGGTTCTTCTTCTTTTGGAGATGAAAAAGCCCAATTCTCACTGCTTTTCCACGGTTCAGAGCAGCGTCCTTCCCCACAGCAGCTGATGGAGTTGGCTTTAACTGCTGACCTGCATCTCCCAAATACCCAGCGCTTACCAAGCGTGCAGGATGACCTCGAGCCCCCTCACACAGCTCATGGCTCAGCCCAGGGCTGCCCCCTCTGCCCTACTGCAAGGGGGGGTCCTTGCCCACCCTGGGACTGTGCTGGGCTGAGCCTGGGCTTGGAGGGACGTATGTGGGGCGGAGGGGTGCACAAGAGGGTCCCACTGTCCAGTGTGTGGGGATGTGCGATGAGTGGTCCCTGATCTCCCCCAGCTCCTGTGTCTGGAGTGGGGCTGATGCCTGTGAGGCGCTGGGGGCTGGAGGGGGAATGCTCAGCCTGGGGCAGGATTCGGCCCTCAGTGCGCAGCCTCACCCGGAGCTGGCCCTTGGCCACGGCCTCTCCTGGGTCCCGCTGGGGGAGAGTTGAGCAAGAGCAGAGCATCCCTCCGGAACAGCCATGAGCTCAGTGCTCGGCTTTGAGGGGAGCCAGGAAAAGCTGCGCCGCTCCTTCCCCAGCCAAGGGCTGCCTTCCCCGGCCCGTGTCCTGGCTCTGGCTTTGTCTGCACTTGGCATGGTTGTTTGCTCCCCATTCCCGGGCTGAACACGCCGAGGAGCCCCCCTGAGCCTCCCCCCCAGCCCCGTTGCAGACCCCTATTTCAAGGAGGGTCCTTTGCCTGGCAGAGGGGAGGTTGCTCCCTCGGGGTGCCTTTCACAGCTGGCTTTCCTCCCCCCCGCCATGGTTTTGGCAGGGTTTCCCCACAGGCGCTCAGC